GGCTAAAACTTTTGCGAGATCTCGCAATACTTTTGCGAGCGCTCGCAATACTTTTGCGAGATCTCGCAAAAGTCCGTCTTATTTTTTTTTTTCCTCCCTAATTTTTTTTTTTTCCCTCCCTAATTTTTTTTTCCTCCCATGTCCCCTGGGGGGCTCCGTAGCTGAGTGACTGCTGCTCGTCAAATACATTTCATTGCGATGTTGACCCTGTGCTAACTTGCATATGACAAATAAAACTGAAAACTGCTAGCGAGTTGGCTATGAGCTGAGCTAAGCTAAGCTAGCGAAACCCTAAAGACGCAGCGAGTAAAGCGCGTGAAGATATGAAAAGCGAAGTTATCTATACGGTTTTTAATAAACTGCTACAAGAACACCACTGTGTGTTGGAACAGGAACAGGAAGTGATACTCTACCGCAGAGAGAGTGGACAGGAAGTGACAGCGCCCCCTGACAACAACATTAGAGATGGTAAACAGATGAAACACATCCTTACCCAGTGTCTCCAGCTACTCTCGGCCTGCGCTGTATCATCTGGACTTCTACATGTCTTCTTCTTCCTTCTGGTCTTTGGCGTGCAGGACTGGAGCTGATTCGGGGTCAGGTCTGAGCAGGGGTCTCTCGTCTCCATGCCTCGCCGCCTCAGCAGGAAGTCTTTTAAGGAGGGACTGGAAGCCCTGAGAGCACCCTGGTTTGGCATGAGCACACTCATTCGGCTGCAGCTGGCAACTGACAGGTGGCTGTAGAGGCCGATCATGATGATTGCCGGCAGGTAAAAGGAGGGAAGAGTCGTCCCCATAGTAACAGCAGGGCTAACAAGTAGACGGATGTAACACTGATCGTTAGGGACGACGCGCCCGCCCTTATCTGTCTGCCAGGACAGGATGGCGGGAGCCCAGAGAATGAAAGAAAGCAGCCAGGCGGCAGCAATCATCAGGCACGCCATCCTGCCCGTCCGCCGCACTGGGTAGCTGAGCGGTCGCGTCAGGCAAAAGTACCGATCCAGACTGATGAGCAGCAGGTTCAGGACCGAGGCGCTGCTCGCCACGTAGTCAAGGACGAGCCACGCGTCACATAGCACGGGGCCCAGCAGCCAGCGGCCCTGCAGCTTATACAGCGTGTACACGTTCATGGAGAACAGGCCGATGATCAGGTCGGCCACCGCCAGGCTCAGCAGGAAGTAATTGTTGACCATCTGCAGGTGACGGTTCACTTTGATGGACAGGATCACCAAAGTGTTGCCGAGAACGGTGAGGATGCTGAGGGAGGTGGTAACCATGGCAATGAGGACCAGCTGAGCGGTGCTGTACGGATATGGTGGTGAGAGCGGAGGCACACGGGAGGTGTTGACGGAGAGGCGGAGCAAAGTAGGCGTCGGTTCCATGTTTCCTAAAGTCACACACAAGAAGACTTTGAAATTATTGAACTGAAACGAGATCAAAGTGACCACAAAATAATTACAAGTGTTAAAACAGAAAAGACAGCGTTCCTTAAATCAGTCAACACTGAACCGTCAGCCTAGTGTGTGAAATTCAAAGAGTTCCTGATGTACTGGTTATTTTCCCACCAACTCAGGAGATAAAGAGCAAATCAAAGAAGCGAACATCAAATGGTCATCAATGGATGTTAATGACTTTTACTAATATAATTAAAAGAAAGAACTTTGTATACTTGCCCTGAAAATGAATCAGTATCTTCCTGAGAATGATTTCCTCTTCCTCACAGAAGCTGTTTTATTGCAGCTCACACAGAAACGATGAAGCTAAACAGTTTATACGAAGTTCTCCTCGTGCAGGATTTTATTTTCTTGCAGCAAAAACTGAAGATGTTTGAAGTTTATTATAAAGATCTCGTTACATTTAATGCAAAATGTTGAAACTCCTGTGATCATTCCCAAACCTCAGTTTGGACCACATGAAAGATTTAAATGTGCAAAAGGAGCATTCATGTGGAAACGACGGATAAATGTGACAAACTAACGATGAGCTGCAGCTCTGATCAGATACAGTCACAGCTGTGTCACACTCACATCGACATTTACCTGCTCGAGGTGCAGCTTTTGCACTTCTGTGTTATTACCTTAGTAAAAGTACTTTCACTTCAGAGAAATTTCCTCCAGCTCTGAGGAGCTGACTGAAAAACACGTTTAAGCCTTCAAAATAAAAGCAGATTTCCTGACAGAATGAACCGGCAGGAGTTGCTGCGAGCGCGTTCAGAGGTTCGGTCCAGCTCACCGGGGATGTTGGAGCTGCTCAGCTTGCCGCTGTCTGCCTGTCCATCAGTCCATCTGCAGCAGTTTACATGCAGCCTTCGTCCTGACGTCATCAGATGTGGGATGTAATGACACATTAGAGAAGATGAGCCCAGCTTCAGTTACCACCACACGGGTTTTAACTTCATCTTCCTCCCAGCATTACCGTTAGTGAAGACACTGCAGCAGGCACAGAGAAGCAAACGGAAACTTCCAGCACTGTCAGAGTGCTTATTTACAGTCCTAATATCATCTCTTTTCCTCCATGTTATTTGATTAACCTCCGCTCTGACACAAATGTGCTGCAGTGCAGTCACAGATCTGCCATCCGAGTTCCTCGACCCTCCGAGCAGCAGCCCGGACTCTCAGCCAGCCTCCAAATATTTATGCAGAGCTCATTAAAGTGGACAAAAAGCCGCGTTTCCTCCTCCGCCTCATAACGATATCATTTTAAACACTAATAAGGAGCTCAGGGTCACTCGGCTGCTGTGCTCAGATCAGCTTTATTACCGTTTTCCTCGAGTGCTTAAACACAGTCCTTGAAACTATGCCTCGTATTCCCCAAACAGTAAACACAAATCCATAACGTCTCACCATATTTCCCAAACATCGTGTTATCAGGATGAAATGCAGCTCTACACTCAAAACCATTCACCCTGCTGAAAAACCAAACTTTGCCACAGACAGCACACACAAGGCCTCAAAAACACACACACAATAACATAGTTGTACACATTGAACACAAAAAATGCAACCAATGTACAGACGTAGACAAAGGTGGTACCCACAATGGTCCCAGAAATAACTTTAATCTGACAAAAGTAATAATAAATAAAAATTCTATTAATCTTAACCAATGAAAGTTGGACACTGCTTTTCAACCATGCTTCAAATGAATTATTTAAAAAATAAATGCATGAAACCGGCCTGGACAAAATGATTAAAGGTAAAAGATATAAGACCATCTCCAAGCAGCTAGATGTTCCTGTGACTACAGCTGCACGGCATTCACAAATTTCAGATCCATGGGAGCCAACCTCCCTGGACGCAGGAGGGAAATTGAGATGGATAATCCGAATGGTAACAAAAGAGCGCAGAAAGACTTCTAAAGAGATCCAAGCTGAACTTCATGCTCAAGGAACATCAGTGCCAGATCGCACCATCCGTCGTTGTTTGAGCCAAAGTGGCAGGCGTCGCCTCGGCCTGGAGGTGCACACGACATAAGGTTCTAAAGTAACTCCTCGGAGTGACCACAGGAATGGTTCATAGTGTTCATAGCTCAGGGAAATGGGTGTGCTCTTTGGAAAGTGGCATTATGCTTTTGAAATTTGGCTTCATTAGATTGCTTAAACACTATAACCAATCAAGAAAAACTGTAATCCCAAAGAAGGCATTTTTACCGCCTACCCACACATCCTGCAGCCTGTAAACACTCATAGAAATATAGAACAGAAATATGCTTTATTGTGGAAATCCAGGTGTTCCAGCAGCAGAGTTACAGGAAGTTGCAGCGTTCAGAAATCAGAAAACTGCTGCATGTGAAGGCCCAGCTCAGTGAGCTGCCCTCGTGGTTACTGCAGGACTTCATGTTTTAAAAATGAAGCTGACAGGTTATCCCAGATAAATGCACCGTGGACATCAGCTGGGCTTCGAACAAGGCTTAAATCATCGAGTCAATAAAGAAAAGATGCAACACATCTGTGAGCACGAACAAATAAAACCACAGATTCAATTCAATTCAATTCATCCATCCATCCATCCATTCGCTTCCGCTTATCCTTTTCAGGGTCGCGGGGGGCGCTGGAGCCTATCCCAGCTGTCATAGGGCGAGAGGCGGGGTACACCCTGGA